TGATGGCCCTCAAGTGACCATCGATGGTGCTTGCTCTGACACATTCAAGGCAAAATTTCTACCCTATGTTCTACCACTTAGCCCCATTTTAACTATTTTTTATCATACACAACCACAAAGATAATAGGGAAAACATAAATAAAGCAATCACCTTTCCAGCTGACAATTTTGACCAGTTTGCTGATGAAATCAGTTGTATAAACCCGGAAACCCTGTAAACCCATGTTTGCTCTGGTAAGAGAAAATACAGCAGGTCAGGCACTTGTGTTGCATGCAGCCCATGGGATATTGAAACTTGTATCCCAGATGACCCCTGAGCACTGCTGGGCATAATTCCTGAGTAGGGAAGAGTAAACCCTGAGGGTCATTGGGTATGGCCCAAAACAAATCAACAAAATATAGCTCCTGCAACCCCAATTTTAAAAAAAATCCACTGAAGGTTGTAGAAATAAACTGTGTATTAGTAGATATCTTCATATAATGGGACTCTCTTTTAACAGAAATAATATCTCACAGTTTTAACTGAAAAAGAATATATAAAATATTTCAACCAATATGTAGCTAAAGAAAAATTTAGTTTTATAAGCATAAAACTTTAAGTTATGTGATGACTGGCAAATGTGATACTTTGTGATCTTGTTGAAGTTTTATCTCCTGGGCAGAATGCCATTTTCAATTGTGTTGCAACTGCAAAATTGTCATTTATATTATGTCAGCTGGATGTAGCAGCTAGAAAGAAGTTAGTAGGGATATTTCACTCTTATCTAATAGTAATTTTAAGAGCTGTGTAAATCATAAAATTTATTGACAAAAATCCATCATAGGTTGAAATTCATGGGTGTGGCTTACCATGTTTCTTAAAGGTACTGCTTACTAAATGTGATGATACTGTTTGTAAATTTTTAATGAATTAACTCTTTATAAAGAAATATACAATTATTCATTTGTAAAGAAATAAACAACTAACGAATATAAGAAAATGAAAGTATATAGAAAGAATAATTTTTACTACTTCTTGACATATTCTGAATTATGGGAGTAAAGGGAATAAAAATGGAGAACAAACTACACTAATATATTCTATAGAAGAGTTATTAAGGTGCTGAGTTCCATGGGGGCCAACTCTGGTTCAATCCGAGCACAATTTTGACCAGTTTGCTGATGAAATCAGTTGTATAAACCCGGAAACCCTGTAAACCCATGTTTGTTCTGGTAAGAGAAAATACAGCAGGTCAGGCACTTGTGTTGCATGCAGCCCATGGGATATTATTTATTTATTTATTTTAGGTTTGTAGGCCATACCTAGCAGTGCTCAGGGCTTAGTCCTGATTCTGAACTCACGTGTCACTCCTGACAATGCTCAGGACCAGATGGGTTGCTGGGATATAACACATTTTGACTACATGCACCACGTATGGTCCCCCTAACAAGCAAAAAAAATAATAAAGTGTTTGGCGAGTATAAGAAATACCTCATAATTATGTAATAAATCTGAACTAATATTTTATATATTTATGTGGGCCTCCCCAGTGATGCTCAGGTTCCTGAGGCCTGCTCCTGGCACTTTTGGTTTAAAAGTCTTGGTGCCCTAGCTGCAACTCCAGAGTGGTACTGGGATGCTGAAAGCGGGAGAGGAAAGAGAGTGAGAAACTGTATGTTGGGCTATAGATCAATTCTGCAGTATTTTTCTTGCTAAGCTTCCTCTCTAGAATTTTGGGCTATTTCCCAAGTACGTGAATTCCTTTATTCATAAAACCAAATGAAGAAAAGTGTGCTTTATAAAATGCCATCTATCTCTCAATATTGATACGAATGAATTAAAAAAGGAAAGATCATAAAGAAGGTAAAATATGTTACCTTAAGCAAATATGTCTGGATTATGAGTTCATTAAATGAAGACTTTTGCATAAATTAATGTGAAAGTATATTCAATATCCTAAGGACATAAAAATTAGACTTGTTGCTATATTATTTAAACTAGATGTGATAATAACATAATGATCATAATAAAATGAAAACATGTAGTAAGATCTCAAACATTGATGACCTTCAGACATAATGTCAATCCATCTTCTATAAACCGTGTGCATTGTGATAATTACTTTGATAGTTTTACATTTGATGAATCTAAAGTTCAGTGGAACATGTGTGCCTTGAATGAAACAGGCATATAGGGAGTAGCAGCCATAGGTTAATTCCTAATTTATTAACCTACGTATGCAATTTTTTTTGTATGTGACCTCTTATTTTATGTAATTTTATGAAATTACTAATTGGGTAACTAAATATTGTTTTACTACTGAACTTCTAACCAGATGAATTAGCTATATATTTAAACATGCACAGAAATGTAAATCACTAAAAGAATGAATTGTCTAGATTAAAGATGAAAATTTTAAAGAAAAATTTGGACATTCCAAAATTTTATTGTACATTTTATATGCAATATTGAAGTAATGACAATCCCATACATTGTGATAAATGCAGGCATGTCACCTTTCAATAAATTTAAAAGATACTTTCATTTGAGAAAAAGCCATAATTTTTATTTTGATTTTATGCATCACATCATGCTATATTCAGGGCTTACTCCTGACTCTGCTGTAAGAGATCAATCCTGCAGGTCTTGGTGGACCTTCTAGGGCGCTGTGGATTGGATGCAGGTAAATCACATGCAAGGCAAGCAGCCTGTGTACTCCAGTCTTGGATTGTTTTTTTTAATACTCATTCAATTGTGTCCTTACAAATTCTCAAAACATTTAATATTTGCTATACAGTTTGTTTCTTTGGCTTTTGCCAAATATTTACTTACCTGGAATTTTTGATTTTTAATTCTAAATATGGTTATTTAGCTCTCCATTATAAATAAGACAGGATATATATATATATGAAATATATATGTGAAATATATACATATATATATATTTCATAGGGCTGGAGCAATAGCACAGCGGGTAGGGCATTTGCCTTGCACATGGCCTATCCAGCTGATCCAGGTTAGTTTCCTCCGGCTCTCTCGAAGAGCCTGGCAAGCTACCGAGAATATCTCACCCACGCGGAAAAGCCTGGCAAGCTACCCGTGACATATTCGATACGCCAAACACAGTAACAAGTGTCACAATGGAGATCTTGGAAGTGTTTTAATGTTTGCCAGACTACCTTGAAGTCAGACTTAGAAGTTCATTGTATTTCCAAAAGTAAAATATAAATCTTATCAAATGACAGTAAGTAGTTTTCTTTCTTTCCTTTATTTATTATAGATTCCATAAAAAATTTCATATCTTCATTTTTTCTTGCTTATATCACCCCTATTCTTACCCTCCTACCCCTATGTACATTGGTAAAATGCCTAGGCCAGTTTGCTTTATTTATTATGGCAGAAACTTCATCTCTTTAGCTAAGTTTTGAGGTGCTGCTCTTTCTCTGGTTAGGTTACATAATTCTTCCTTCTTTCTTGTACTCAGACTATATAACCTTTCATTCCTCTTCTCTAATTATCTTTCTTTCTTTTTTTTCTTTTTACTGAATCACTGCTAGATACAGTTACAAAGCTATCATGTTTGAGTCTTGGCCATACAATGATCAGATACCCATCCCTTCACCAGTGTACATTTTCTACCACCAAAATCCCCAGTAATACCCCTCCATCAAAACCCTTCACCTGCCTGTGTGGCAGACAATTCCATAATACTCTCTCTCCCTACTTTGATTACATTCAATATTTCAACACCAGTCCCGCCATTATTATTCGGAATTTTCCTGCTGCCACTCAAACCTGCCGAAAAGGCAATGCTAGACAATTTATTTTGTGTTGCTTGTTATGAATAGCATACGATGTCCTGGAATTCTAAAATTTTAGATAATTAGAACCTGGAGAGATCTCTGCAGTGAGCTGCTCAGTTCCGAGATGCTTTTGTGTGTCATTGGATCACAGCCACTAAGGAGCTTAAGTAGTAGCTGGAAACAATTTGTGGGCATCATCTCAAGTTCCCATGAGACAGAGGGATGAGAAGGGCGAGCCCGTCTCTCATCCTGAGACCTGGCATTTGCCACTACTGCTGCCATGTACCTGGGCTTCTAGTTGGGTTCTGGAAGATGGTTGCTGCCGGATTTCCTAGGGGCCAGGCAGAGGGACAGAACCTGCTCCAATCTGGTGTAGCCTGGTGAAATCGACCCAGTGCAAAGTCCAGAGGCATCTCTGCAGTGAGCTGCTCGGTTCTGAGATTCTTTTGTGTGTCACTAATTATCTTTCTTATCTGTCTCCCTCATTTGACCTGAATTCAGGGAGAATTTATCATTGCCCTTTGTATCCTCAGTATTTCTCTAGCATGTTACTTTCTAAATGCTAAATAGATTCTAGTGGAGTAAAGAATCAGAACTATGACTTTATATAAAAAAAATCCATCATCAGTGAAGAAGACACACTAAATAGGCAACAGAATAAAATTAAAGATAATAACTAGATGGTCACTGTAATGGAAGATTGTGAGAGGATAAAATAAGAATGTGCCTTGGGAAATAGAAAGCTGATTAGATGGGACAGAGAGGAACATGAGGGTTGATTGGAAGACGATTCTAATTACATTGGAGAAAGGTTATATATTATCAGACATGGGGTTAATTTTACTAAAAAAGAGATAGGAATTATTTTTGATGGGCTCTATTTGATATATCTGATGGAGTATCCATTTTATCTAGATGTCTAGAAACCACAGTCATTCCTCTTAAAATAGAAATCTGAATAACTATTCTTCTGTCTAAGAACTAAAACTTCATTCTTAAGTAGGTTTGAGATACAATGCTATGATTCCATAGATATGAGATAATATAACAGAGAGAGTATCAAATCTCTTTGGTTTTTAGGAGAAGCAATGTCTGTTATATTCGATTTACTTTAAGATTGGAGTTTCAAAAATACATATTCTGTTGAAATCTTATTAAATGTTGCAAAATTAATTATAGTTTTTGCTTTATTTTGTTTTGTTTTTGCTTCTTTACAGTATGCTGTCTGGCTAGTCCTCTGGGTTACATGGAATGTGTTTGTTATCTGCTTCTATTTGGAGGCTGGGGACCTCTCAAAGGTAATTTACATCTGATTTGCCTGAGTCATCAGTAATGTATTAACAAGACTCTTCCTAAGTAAGATTGAGCCTGTTGTCATTTAGATGCTCCTCATATGAAGGTAAATTGAAAGGCGTCCTCATTTATAGCACTGCAATTTTATCCTCAAATATATGCTAAGTTTGTCAGAAAATGAAGTTTTATTTTTTTAAGGGTAAGTAGTGTGAAGTATTAATATAAGGTCACTATTTTCATTTTTAAAAATTGACTAATGAGGAGACAGCAATGTTGTTCAACAGTGGAAAATTTACTTGTATGGTTTGCTCATCACTGAAAACAAGAGATTGACAGATGGAGATTGCTGAAGTAGCTTATGTGTGTTTTTGGAGACAAAATCTTGAAGATTTATAAAATCAAATTAGTTTGTCTATTATTTTGCAAAGGATTATTCTTATTGAAACTAAATCCTATGCCATAGTTCAAATAATTTAAGGGTTCAAATTCAATAAAATTTGGGCCTGAGTGATAGTACAGTGTGTAGAGCATTTGCCTTCTATGCGACCAACCTGGGTTCGATTCCTGGCATCCCATATGGTTCCCCAAGCACCGTCAGGAGTAATTCCTGAGTTTAAAGCCAGGAGTAACCCCAGAGCATTGCTGGGTGTAACCCACAAAGCTAAAATAACTAAATAAATAAATTGAATAAAATTCTTACTAGAGGGGATATGATTTGTTACATAAATGAATACAATTAGAATTTTATTTAGACGGTAGAAAAATACAAATAATTCATTTTTCCATATAGTTTAAGTTGTTTTATACTGCTTTTGTGTGAGTGAATAAGTGATAATTGAGTGAATGTTTCCATTGCTGTTTTCTTTCTAATGTGAATGCCTTTCCTATTTAAGTGATACAGTTTGTAAACCACTAAAACCAGAATTTTAATTGTTAGAATGCAATTAAAACCAAATATGTCAAATGAAATAAGCCATTTAGTAGGAGCAAATCTTGCTTGAGTTACTTGAGTTGCAAACCACTTCTTCATGTTAACTTTAAAAAGACAGATTTTAAGTGTTCCTTTTCTTATCCTTTACTAGAGCAGAAAGACTGTACAAAATATTTTTAAAACCCAGAGACAATAACCTGTTTTAAAAGGCTAAAAGAGTTTGAAAATTCACTAGGAATTACTTTTGCTGGACAATATATTCTGTTGGGAGGGGAGAGCAGATTTTGATATAACATTTACAAGCTAGTGTATGGGAAATTAAAAAATAATATGAGCAATTTAAAGAATATTATTTAACTGTGATGCACGACTTTATATCAAGAATAAATAATCTCACCTTCTTTTTTCAATCGTAAATGGGGAAGGATAAAATAAGAAAGTGACATTTTTGTCAGAGATAGAATCAGTTAGGAACTTCTTTTACAATCAAGTTTTGGACTAAAACCTTACTGAAAAGTCAGCCCTAGTGAATGGCATGCTGTGATTCTTGTAGGGCACCATCCTTCACAATTTTGGCACCAGACAGTGCTTCCCTAAAGATGCCAAGACCAGTAAAAATAAATGGTTCAGGTGATTCCAGGAAGGATACACAGAGGATTTCTTCTAAAATTTAATTTGTCTTTGTGACAAAAATAAATACACACTACTCAATGGCTTGGATTCTTTAGTTTACACATCTTTGTTATTTCGTTATCCACATTCTTGAAAGAAATTCCATAGTAGGATAAATTGATGACATTTTCAGTTTTATATAATCATGTTAAAAAATGGAAGGTCTGGGGACAGTGCTGTGGAAAGGATGAAACGGAATCCAAGAGGAGAATTAGGCTGATATGGGGTATGTTGAAAAATGGCTCTCCTGGGTGGATCTCACAAGCCTATCAAGGTGCTAATGAAGATTGCACCAGCCAAGGTTTTCTGGTGGGTTTATATTGACGCAAAGGAGGCCTGGGGCAGGGACTGGTTTGCTAGCACCATAGTAGTCGATGGTCCTTTGTTGTGGGTTCCAGGGATTCAAGAGATGAAAATTCCCAGGGCTGAGGCAGAACTGCTTGTGGATATTTCTAAGTATTCTTTGAGCTGACTCAAAGAAGGGAGGAATTCAGAAACAATGTTTAACTGATATGAGCTAACAGATCAAAGAGTTTAATATGTGAGAGATTTGAGTCAATCTGGCTGCACAAATGTACTATAACTGTGTGCACCATCCCTGTGGTGACTATAGGCATAAAATAAAGCTTGATCTCATTCATGGTCTTGAGCATGAATATTTAAATCGTAAGTGGTGGGGACATTCTCAAACATAATAGTTTAGGAAAGTTGCAAATAACTAATAATTTTTCTGATGTACACAGACAGGCAATGTGCATACCTTGGAAATGAAGCAGTTAGTGTTTGCTTTTCCTATTACAAATCAAACCTAGGTTCTGCAGAGAGCATGAAAATTTAATAATAATTTCCTTTTAACATATAATCTAAAGAAAAGCAAGGCAAATTTTATACTTGTTTGTACTGAATTCCTTTTCCTACTCAAAGTGTTTGAGAAAGGTCTATTTATACCATTAAATTTTTCAGTTTCTGCAACTGCCTAACATTCTTCAAATCATAATGTGCCAGAAAGAGTCAATGGTGATTAAAAATGTACAGATATATGATAACAAAAAATAGACTGAAGAAAATGCTGATAATACTTAGATTATGAATGATGAGGCATTTATTTTGTAACTTATCCCCATCCTTACCAAGCCACTTTACCCCAAATCTTTGACCACATGAATGGGCAATTTTGCCTGAGATTGAGGGACCAATGAGGCTAAAGAGCAAGGGAGTCATTTAGTGGGGAAGTCATTTATCTCTATCATTTGTCTCTATAAAACATGTACATTAATGGTGCCCCCATAGTAACTACTGTTCAAAAATTATTTTTGTAAAATCTTAAGCCATGAAAGCAAATTTTAAGTACCTCTTAGATTTTAGAATGCTGTCTCTAATTTTCCTCAGCTAAGTTAATTACTTTGAAAGGAGATCTCTATGTCCTTTAGTAATTTTTAAATTTAAAGAATACAATATTTAAAAGGAAAACATGTAATGTGATTATTTATCTCTTAACTTAATGAACTGGGAAGTAATATTCATGAAATAATTTTAATAGCTACATAAAGGGAAAATTAGTGGTTTGGGGGGTTGTTATATTTGGTGTGAATTGGGGTATTAAATTGTTCTTTATTTATAGTTAGGCTTATTTATACAGTATATAGTTCAGAGTCTTTTTAGGTTGAAATATAGTCTAACACTTTTCTTTATATGGCTATTTTGGGATTTCAACTATTACTTTCATAATACATATAACACCATTTGTGAATGATAAACTGATCTTTAATAAAGAAACAATAAACTTTCAAAGCATATGGTAATAATCAAAGGATTCATATTTGTTTCATATTTGAAACAATGCAAATTATTTCTATTTAACCCTTTGAGAGAAGGGATATGGGTACAAATCTCACAGCCTTTGGCATATTATCAGAAATGTAGCTAGGTAAACATGACCAGAAGCTATTAATTATACTTTGTGATATGCATGCTTTAGGAATGTTTGTCTTTTATACAACTTTGACAATACTGTTAAAAGTATTCACATATTATTACTTTTGATATTGCTTCTCAGAACTAGATATGAATATCCATAAAAATGTATATAAAAATCATGTAAAATGTGTCCCATTTATGCTTGGAGAATAAACTTGAACTCTTTAGAATATGAGACAACGAGAAGATAAAACCTGTCACGCACTATAGACAATAGGGAACAAATCCCTAAAAGCAAAAGCAAGAGCTTTGTGGAATAATGTACTAGTGCAACAGTCTCAGTTTTATTCCACCTATAAAAAATGAATTATTCATTTGAAAATGTACCTGATATTTGAAAACTTGTACTCAATGAAATAAATTCAGATAATCAAAATATGTTTTTATGATTTTATATGGGAAAAAGTAACACTATTAAGAAACCAGATAGAATCATTTCATTTTGTTAATGCTATTCTTCAATATATAAACAGATATACACAATTCGTAATACATAAGTGATACCTCTGATAATTTAAGACTAATAGATCCAATAATATATTAAAAAACACCAAGATCTTTGATATAACCATTGTGTTTTTATTGAATCACTATGAGATACAGTTATAAAGCTTTCATTATAGAGTTTCAGTCATACAATGATCAGACCCCATCCCTCCACCAGTGCACATTTTCCTCCACTACTGTCTCCTATATCCCTCCCTCTTGCGACCCCTACCTCATGCTGCCCCCTGCCTCTGTGGCTGACAATTTCATTCTTTCTCTCTACTTATGGGGCTGGAGCGATAGCACAGCGGGTAGGGTGTTCGCCTTACAAGCGGCCAACATGGCCGACCCGAGTTCGATTCCTCCGCCCCTCTTGGAGAGCCCGGCAAGCTACCGAGAGTATTCGATATGCCAGACACAGTAACAACAAAGTCTCCAATGGAGACGTTACTGGGCCCGCTCGAGCAAATCGACGATCAACGGGAGGGCCTTTACCTTTTACCTTTACCTCTCTACTTTGGGGGATTATGGTTTGCAATACTGAGAGGCCAGCGTATTTGGTCCTTTATCTACTTTTATCACACATCTCCCATCCTGAGCAATCCCTCCAATCATCATTGACTTAGTGACCCCTTCTCCACCCCAGCTGCCTTCTCTACCAACTCATGAGGCAGGCTTTCAACCATGGAGCATCCTTCCTGGCCCTTATCTCTACTGTTCTCGGGTGTTAGTTTCATATTATGTTATTGTATATTCCACAAATGAGTGCAGTCATTCTATGTCTATCCTGATAGATTCACTTTTGCTTCGCTTCTCTTACTGCAAAATTTGTATAGTCTCAAAAAATTATAGTTACCTTTTACTAATTGGAAAAATTCTTACTCTCAATCAAGTTAATTTTATGATAAAGAATAAAATGCCCTAAATATTGCAATAATT